AGGAAACCGTTCCCATCGGCAGCTGCTTGACTTCTGGACTTCACTTGAACCAAGAAACCCACCATAATTATGGGGTTTGTGCAATCCCACACGACCAGAGCGCGCGGGGGAATATCCCGAAGGGATTCATGACAAAGAATCCCCACGCAATTAATTAGAACAAATCCCAAAGCAATTGTAGCAAATCCTAAAGCAATTATAAACCCCCTGAAGTATTTATAAGAAACCCCAAAGTGTTGATACCATGTCAAAGCAATTCTAAAATAACTCCAAAGAAGCCAGAAGTTATCTCAATGCATTTATAACAAATCCCAAAGCGATTACGGAAAAATCCCAAAGTATTTCCAAATTCTCCCAAAGGAATTCTAGCAAGTCCCCAAGCAATTAAACCAAATCCCAAAGCAATTATAAACCCCTCAGAGTAACTATACTATCTCAAATTAATTATAAAATGCTCCAAAGTTCTTCAATATTATCTCCAAACGGTTGTAACAAATCCCAAAGTGATTACAGAAAAAGCCCAAAGTATTTCCAAATTATCCCAAAGGAATTCTAGCAAGTCCCCAACCAATTATAACAAATCCCAAAGCAATTAAAACACAATCCCAAAGCAATTATAACACAATCCCAAAGCCATTAAAAAAAACCCCGCCGCATTTATAAAGTAACCCCAAAGAATTCTAACGAAGCCAAAATGATAAAATAAAAATGTTATAAATCACTTAATTTTGGCCTCTTCCAACCTGCCATGGAAACATTCAACACTGATGATCTTCCCCAGAACACCAAATTCACCAGAAATCATGCAAAACCGGTCCTAAATTAAAGGGAATTAATCACTTGTGGTTTTTGGACACCTTCCCCAGGCACAGGACTTAATTTGCTCTTTTTGAGACCAAATATTTGCGAGGGGATGGAGTTTGATGATTTCCCTGGAAAAATGTTTTCTCTGATGTTGCTCATAAACCAGGTGGTCTCTGCTCTAGGAAAGGGTTTTTCCTGGGGAATTCATCGCCAGGGGTGAAGAAACTGCCTTTTTTCCCCCAAAAAAATGGGTGGAGGCCACCCTGGGAGATCGGTCCTGTTCAAGCTGGGTCGTGCAATGGCAAAAAACTTCACAGGGCGAGTGAAACCAGGGGATCAGACCCAGATCGGGTGGAGGAATTGCATTTTATCCGCCCAAAATGTCAACCCTAAAAAGATGCGTGGAAAAAAATCGTGCGCAACTTTATTACGAGCGCGATGGGGGGATTTTTGCAAAACTCTGCCCGATGGGTTCACGGTCGTCTAGCGACCGTTGAAATCCAAAGCAAGGCCGGTTACAATCATAAACAGGGTGCATTGCAACCCAAAGTGAGGTGCAGTGCAACCCAAAGTGAGGTGCAGTGCAACCCAAAGCGTGGGGCAGTGCAACCCAAAGTGAGGTGCATTGCAACCCAAAGTGAGGTGCAGTGCAACCCAAAGCGTGGGGCAGTGCAACCCAAAGCGTGGGGCATTGCAACCCAAAGCGAGGTGCAGTGCAACCCAAAGTGAGGTGCATTGCAACCCAAAGTGAGGTGCATTGCAACCCAAAGTGAGGTGCATTGCAACCCAAAGTGAGGTGCACTGCAACCCAAAGCGAGGTGCAGTGCAACCCAAAGTGTGGGGCAGTGCAACCCAAAGTGAGGTGCACTGCAACCCAAAGCGAGGTGCACTGCAACCCAAAGCGTGGGGCAGTGCAACCCAAAGTGAGGTGCACTGCAACCCAAAGCGTGGGGCAGTGCAACCCAAAGCGTGGGGCAGTGCAACCCAAAGTGAGGTGCATTGCAACCCAAAGCGAGGTGCAGTGCAACCCAAAGCGTGGGGCAGTGCAACCCAAAGTGAGGTGCATTGCAACCCAAAGTGAGGTGCAGTGCAACCCAAAGTGTGGGGCAGTGCAACCCAAAGCGAGGTGCACTGCAACCCAAAGCGAGGTGCAGTGCAACCCAAAGTGTGGGGCAGTGCAACCCAAAGCGAGGTGCATTGCAACCCAAAGCGTGGGGCAGTGCAACCCCCAGCAATAGGCTTTGCAATCTGAAGAGAGGTGCAGTGCAGTCCAAAGCAATGTGCATTGAATCCAACGTCAGTGGCACCGCAATCCAGAGTAAGGCCCGTTGCAATCCAAAGCAAAGGGCACTGCGGTCCAAAGCAAGGCCCGTTGCAATCCACAGCAAGGCAGATCGCAAACCAAAGCACCAGGCACTGCAGTCCTAAGCAGGGAGCACTGCAAGCCGCAACAAGGCCCGTTGCAATCGAAAGCAAGGGACATTGCAATCCACAGCAAGGCCCGTTGCAATCCAAGGCAGACGGCTTTGAAATCCACAGTGAGGGGCGTTGCAAATGACGGCGAGGGGCATTGAGATCCACGGCGAGGGGCATTGCAAACCACGGGGAGGGGCATTGCGATCCACTGCGAGGGGCATTGCAAACCAAAGCGAGGGGCATTGCAAACCACGGGGAGGGGCATTGCAAACAAAAGCGAGGGGCACTGCAATCCACGGCCAGGGGTATTGCAGACCACGGCGAGGGGCATTGCAATCCATGGCGAGGGGCACTGCAATCAGCAGCAAGGGGCATTGCAATCCAAAGCAATGCACACGGCAAACCCCAGCAAGGCCTCTCGCAGCCCAAAGCCGCTCACTCTGCAACCCAAAACCACACACGCTGAAATCACAAGCCCGAGGCCGTCACACCGCCCTGCTTTCCACCTTCCCAACCCTTTCATCCCCGATTATGCAAGACCCCCCGGGGGCGGCGGAACCCTAATTGCTTTTTATTTACCTCCAGGGGGAGCAGAAATATCAGGTGTCTCCTCCCCCGGGGTGTCCACGTCTCAGCTGTCCCCATTGCAAAAGAAAAAAAAATAAGAAAAAAAAATAAAACAAAGGTGCAAGCAGGAAGCGAAGGCGTGGGAGGGTGGTGGGAGCAACCGCCTTTGGCAGCAGGAGGCCCGAATTTCCCAGAAATCCGAGAGGAGCTGGCGGGATGCCCGCTTGCTTTTGCAACCTGAGCTGCCTCCGTTGGCCAGGCCACGGTTGCCAGCAAGAATGAGCCGGGATGCTGCAGGAAAAGCGATGCAAAGGCTTGGGGTGGTTGGTTTTTTTTTTGCAAGGTTTTGCAAAAATCCCGGCGTTGCACGGCTTGCGGATGCAGTTTTCGGGCGAGGGGGGAAAGGCTGCAGCGTGCAAACACCGAGGAGTTCATTTTCCCCGTGCATCACACTGCTTGTTCTGCAAAAAGCAAAGCTTTGCGAGGAGCAAAAGTCTTCCCCAGGGGTTAATCCCCTCCCGACCTTTCGCAATCCGGCAGCCGCCTCGCCTGCGAAAAGCAGTCTTCTGTTATTTAATTTTTTTTCCTTCTTTTTCCCCCAAAAGGAACCCGGATCTGGGCAGGTTTTGGCAAAAGGGGGAGGAATAATCCAGCCTGGGTGCAAATGCAAACGGTGCAATGATTTAACCCGATGCAAATCCAAAAAGAAGGAGAAATAAACGAGTCTGGGTGCAAATGCAAACGGTGCAATGATTTAACCTGGTGCAAATGCAAAAATGGGGAGAAATAATCCAGTTTGGGTGCAAATGGGAACGCTGCAATCATTTAACCTGGTGCAAATGAAAAAAAAAATGGAGAGAAATAATTAAATCCGATGCAAACACAAACGGTGCAGTAATTAAAAATGATGTAGATGCAAAAGGAGGGAAGAGTAACGGGGCCCAAGTGCAGAAGCAAACAGTGCAATGATTTAACCTGGTGCAAATCCAAAAAGATGGAGAAATAATCCAGTCTGGATGCAAATGCAAACGGCGCAATGATTTAACTCAATGCAAGAAAATGAGAGAAATAATTAAACTCGATGCAAATGCACAAAGGAGGGAGGAATAATCCAGCTCGGGTGCAAATGGTGCAGTGATTAAAAATGACGCAT